CTTTTAGAATGTTCCAACATCGTTATTTATGTTAGAATACATGGGCGTAGTGTTTCAATGTTTGTGTTTATTGTAATTGAATAAATTTTTTAAGATTGTAAACAAAATGTGGTTCATGAAAATATCAAGTTTTTACAAACAATTCAACAGACAGCAATTAACTACTTAAATGGCTTCAATTTACCATCTACTTTTCCTATCCATCGCTTTTTGTTCTGTATATAACATATATATATATATAATCACTGTTTTTAGCGAGATATTAATGGTGCCTGACTATATGCAGCTAGATAACCAGGGAAAATTAACATTTCTAATGGTGAACCGTCCAAGGAAAATAGCTAAATACTTAGCAGCATCCCTTTTCCGTTGAAAACAAACAGTTTACTCTAGTTAACATTCTTAAACTTTTTCACAAACTTTAGAAGAATAATATCTGAACTTTTACAAACGCTAATTCTTAAAATATAATTATCCTTCTCTCGAATTTAAATTTAAATTGACAATTAACACGTGATATTGGAACATTTATATTGAATTGAAAGTAAAAGGTGACTTATTGGTCCATTGGGTCGGGTGTATTATGTATGTAATTATATTCTGTACAAATTTATATATTTATGTTGATATTCACGTCACTATATATATAACAAACAATTTACTTACTTACTTATAACACTTAAAACCTTGAAAAAAATAGGTTTATATTATTGATATATGATTTTTTACCATTTAAGGTGAATCCCTACAGATATATAGCAACTTTTTTTTCACCATTGAATTTTTCTTCAAATTTAAATAAACATACTATGCACTGGCCTCTATAAAAATTTGAATTCTGTATAACTTTAAAAGAAAAGAAAAGAAATGATATTCTTTAAACATTTGTTCAAGAATAGTCATTATTTCTTACCAGATTTGTAACTTTTTTTCAATACTTTTATCAGGACATGCAGGATGTGAGACTTTTTTTCCTACCAAATGTGTGATTCTTTTTCCCCCGAGTCTTCCTTTTACCAATCATGTTCCAATGGGATAAACTTTATACACTAAAGTCAATATATTGTTAAATTTTTAAGACTGGATTTTTCACAATTTTTCAGTTGTCCGTATTTTACTGATCACTTGACACACTGTTTTTTTACAGTTAACATAATGAGAAGTCTAAGATCAATAATTTTGTCAAACCTATGTGGAATTTTTTGAAACTTAGCTTTTTATGATAAAAACCGCCTGATCAAAAGACAATACATGTATCCACATCACAATCTTAATTCCTTATATTTTCGTTTGTTTGTATCCCAATTTTCGACTTTTTTAATACAAAATACAAGACTTATAAAAGAAAAAACTTAGAACATGCCGTGGTTTCATATATATGTTCAACCTGTATACATGGTATACATGTAATGGTCTTAGGACACGTCTTAGTCTTAAGTCAGGCTAACGAAAGTCTTTTAAAATAATATGTCCGAAATTGGGTGTCTTGGGATAGTCCTAAAAGTTACGATGTCCAAGTCAAAATAAAAACAACAAATAAGGCATAAAATAAATGATAAAAAAAAAACTAATGCAATATTAAACTATTATCATGATTATACTGTTATAAGAAATAAACTAAATAAACAAAATATTCCTCAATTTTTGTTAAAGATTTAATTGCGTTACATTATTTTAAATTTTTAGACAAATTTGATTAATAAGATACTTCCAGATATCAACAAAGATTGTATATTATTCAGTTTGAGTTTTGGGAATAATAAGGAATATTACAAGGACTTTGTCTGGGTGTTCGAGAACCAACCAGATGCACATATCTAAATATATTGAGATATTCAGTTAAATATCAAATTTTGATAAATGCTCATTAAAAATTCAAATCTTAATGAAAAATGTTCTTATCTCTCAGAATAAAGTGAATCTTATGAAAAGAAATTATATAAAGAAAATTGTCTTGCTTTTTGAAACAATTGTAAACTTATCAAATATGTTATCTTCAGTTTGGCTAATTTCTGTCAGTTAACAAGCAAAATTTGTCTCCAGAAAAAATAAAGTACACTTCTATAGATTGTGACATTTTTATGGTCTATTAATTAAATCGCTTTTTGTTCTGTGTATTATATTGTCGAAACTGCTGGACTGGCATCATACATATACTTGGTATACATTTGCCGAGAATATTTCACTCAACCCAGGCCTTTTAGATAAAGTTAATAATTGCAGGAACTTTAATGAATTAGACTCTTTAAAGCCCTTGATTAAACATGAATTTACAGGAAAATATAAAGATATTTTTGAAAATAGAATAAAAACTTTTGATTGAAAACTTAACTGTAAACTCAAATGCTTCAGTAAGCAAAGAGTTAGTTTTTCATAATTTAGAAATAGAAAATAGTGGATAATATAAAATTCCTAGAAAGGATAGAATATGTTAACTGTGCCACTTGCTGGACGATGAAGAACACTTCCTCCTTGATTGTAAAATTAACAAAACAACCTAGATATAATCTATTTAAAAATTGTTTACCTTCTCATTATTATGTCTCTTACCCATGTTACCCAAGAACAAAAAGTAAAAGAAATGCTTAACCTCTATAACATGGAAAATGTTTAAAATATTGGCTCCTTTATAAAATAGTCATTAGAACTGAGGGTAGAAAACTAATAATTTTTTTCCATGTGTTTAAAATTGTTATTTCTTTGCATTATAATGTTTGTTGTTTTTGTTTTTTTTTTGTCACAAACTAATTATAATATGTTTATCATGTTTATATGACAATAAAAATATTATCAAATTTTGCTGTTATAAATATATTTTGAATATATTTATTCAATAGAGAAATAATGAATTGCCTAAATTTTAAACAATGTTGAATGCAGATCAGTTTCTCTAAGTATAAACAATATGATTTTAGAAAATTAATTTGAGAAACACCTTTTCAATAGAAAAAGGCAGGCATTGTGAAAGTTTGCATTATATTCATTAGAAGTCATGATATTCATTATTCTTCAGTTGTCAAAAAATACAAGTAAAAATAACTTAAATTGATAGAATTATTTAAAATGTATAACATCAAAACAAACAGTCATGAGAAAATTTTTTCAAAAAAAATGTTATGAAGCAATATGTTCAACCAGGGACATATAATCTGTATTATATGTCTCCTGTTCAACTAGTTTTATTATTCATTTTATTTTTGAATTTTCTTGTCATAATCACAGCTAGTAATTAAATTTGACAAACACATATATTTTACCTGAGACACTTGACCTGTAAGTTATATAATTTTAACACTTTAATGCAGTCATGATTTCCCTTTATCCTTGACTAGTTTTTGATTAATACCTTGTGTATTAATTAAGCAACAGGGGGTATAATGATGGACATATAGTGCCATCATGGTGGACATAATTTTTATGGCCACCATTAAAAAGAAAAAGTCATAAGTAGTGTAACCATTGTAACCCTGACTTTCCATGCATGTAACCATTGTAACCCTACTTCCCCATGCATGTAACCATTGTAACCAGACTTCCCATGTATGTAACCACTGTAACTAGACTTTCCCATGCATGTAACCATTGTAACCCTCATTCCCCATGCATGTAACCATTGTAACCCTCATTCCCCATGCATGTAACCACTGTAACCAGACTTCCCCATGCATGTAACCACTGTAACCAGACTTCCCCATGCATGTAACCACTGTAACCAGACTTCCCCATGCATGTAACCATTGTAACCTGATTTCCCATGCATGTAACCATTGTAAGCTGACTTCCCCATGTATGTAACCATTGTAACCTGATTTCCAATGCATGTAATCATTGTAACCCTCATTCTCCATGTATGTAACCATTGTAACCTGACTTTCCCATGCATGTAACCATTGTAACCTGATTTCCCATGCATGTAACCATTGTAACCCGATTTGCCCATGCATGTAACCATTGTAACCTGATTCTCCATGTATGTAACCATTGTAACCAGCAATCCACATGTATGTAACCATTGTAACCTGACTTCCCCATGCATGTAACCATTGTAACCTGATTTCCCATGCATGTAACCATTGTAACCAGCAATCCCCATGTATGTAACCATTGTAACCCGATTTCCCATGCATGTAACCATTGTAACCAGCAATCCCCATGTATGTAACCATTGTAACCTGACTTTCCCATGCATGTAACCATTGTAACCAGCAATCCCCATGTATGTAACCATTGTAACCTGACTTTCCCATGCATGTAACCATTGTAACCTGATTCTCCATGTATGTAACCATTGTAACCAGCAGTCCCCATGTATGTAACCATTGTAACCTGACTTCCCCATGCATGTAACCATTGTAATCTGATTTCCCATGCATGTAACCATTGTAACCAGCAATCCCCATGTATATAACCATTGTAACCCGATTTCCCATGCATGTAACCATTGTAACCAGCAATCCCCATGTATGTAACCATTGTAACCTGACTTTCCCATGCATGTAACCATTGTAACCTGATTCTCCATGTATGTAACCATTGTAACCCTCATTCTCCATGCATGTAACCATTGTAACTAGACTTCCCCATGCATGTAACCATTGTAACTAGACTTCCCCATGCATGTAACCATTGTAACCTGATTTCCCATGCATGTAACCATTGTAACCCTCAATCCCCATGGATGTAACCATTGTAACCCTAATTCACCTAAACCGTTGTAACCTGACTGACTTATGTAACCTCACATCGATTAATAAAGGGGTTGCCATGGTAACATGATGGCATAAAGGATTCTTGCATGTGTGTAACCAGTGTAACCAATGTAACCATTAGGCCAATGGAGGTTACAAATGTACCAGGATTTGAGAATTTCTGAATATATGATGATTTATGATAGTTTGTATGAGTGTAACCAATGTAACCAATGTAACCATTAGGTCAATGGGGGTTACAAAACAAGGTAACTTAATTCTGGTGCACATTTTGTGCCTTATATGTCAATGGATGCAGTGACATGAGTTATGACTTTATCTAAGATTCCCACGATCTGTATTTCTACTTAATGATCTTAAGAGCTTGTTATAAAAGCATGTGTATTGCTGTTAATTCGAGTTAGTACTCCTCAAAGACTGAAATAATTGCATATTGAGAAATAACTGCTTCTGGATTTGCAGGTGATTTGCTATTTCCTAGAGGAGTTGAAACACAAAAAAATAACGAACTATTGGACTGTACATCTTAACACTAGTAATACATTAAAATCTTAAATTGTAACAAAAAAAGCCTTAAGATCAGATTAAACTAGTAGTAGGTATTCTGTATAGTCTCTTCGTGCACAAAATACAGACGAGATATATCGACAGTAGACTGACCATCGTCACCAAAAGTGTCTACCTGTCTGCCAAGATTGTGGTCAATCATACTTGCTGCCTGTCGGCACTCATTGCGATCAGTCAAATTTGATTCCTGTCTGCCAACATTGTGACCAGTCATTCCGACTGTCTGTCTGCCACCATTATTTCCAAACTTACTGGCCGCATGCTTGCCTATATTGTGACTTTTTAACATATGTCTAAGTAAACTATGTCTGTGTTTAAAAGTGTTCGAACATATGTCACAGTGATAAGCGTTATATTCTAAATGTGTTGTCTTGTGTTGTTGTAGACTTGCAGGCTGAGTAAATCCTTTACCACATAGAGCACATAGATATGGCTTAAGCCCCGTGTGTATGAGCTTGTGGTTCTTCAGAGGCCCACTCTGGCTAAACCCTTTACCACATATGTCACATTTATAAGGCTTTTCACCGGTATGCGATCGCATGTGAACATTTAATAACGAGGCAGTGATAAAACCTTTGCCACACAGTTCACATAAGTGTGGTTTCTCTCCCGTGTGTGTTTTCGTGTGTATCAGCCAAGCACTTTTCTTATCAAACTCTCTATTACACACCTCACATTTGTGAGTTTTTTCCCCGGTATGTCCTCTCAGGTGTTTCTGTAGATGTTCCGGCCTGACTATTATACCACATACTTCACATGTTATATTACCAGTGTGTATGCTATCAACATGTCTTTTAATCGAGCGTTTCTGTTTGAATTCTTGACCACACACTTCACACACAAACATTTTACCAACAACATGTGTTGTCATGTGATTTTTTAGATTCACCTTTTGATGGAACACTTTATTACACACTTCACAAGTAAACTGTTTCTGGGTTGAATGTTTTACGTTAGTGTGCCTAACCATGTACCTTTTCAGTTTAAACGCCATACCACACAGGTCGCACACAAAGTTGTTTTCATTCGTGTGTGTTTTTATATGAGCTTGTAGGTTTGCCGATTCTCTAAACTCTTTCCCACATATATCACATTTATGCGTGACCTGGACGCCAGACCTATGTGTTTTTAGATGAGTTTTGTGGTTTGACTGTTCACGAAATTCTTTGCCACATACCTCACATTTATATGGTTTTTCATCACTGTGTAACTTCAGGTGGTTTTTCAGGTATCGTTTCTGGGGAAACCCTTTACCACAAACATCACATGCATAGGTTTTAGTTGAATGTGTTTTTCTCTTATGAACCCCTAAGTACTTATAGGTAGAAAACACCTTTCTGCAGTCGCCAATATCACACCTAAACCCTTCTGTCGTGTCCGTCCTTGTGTTGTCTGCAGCACCATTGCCATCATTTTGTCCACCAGAGCCTGATAAGATAGGATAAAACAAGTTACTAGTGTTAATGATACAAAATGTAGAAATATTCAACTGTATATGTGTCACCCTGTCATTTTATGAACAGAGTTGGAAAAAAAATCATGATTGTCAATAATATAATGGGTATTAATATGATGATTTAAGACGGAACGGGTAAGAAATGTTTTGGCACATATATGTATCTTGACATCTTTGTATGTTCATGGAATTTTAGATTCCACTAAATTTGTTTCTTTAATTGTATTCCCTTCCCCTTCAACATAGGCGGATCCGGGGGGGGGGGGCTTTCGAGGGAAAAAAATTGGTTGATTATATAAGGAATCACTGAAGCAAGACTCGAGCGGGGCCCCTCTAAGGCCATACCAAATACTAGTAATATATAATTGTCATCTGCACTAGTAAGTTTAATAAGGTTACATGAATATAACATGCTGCAGAATTATTTTGAGATGACAATATCACAAGCTAGTTATAATATCATAAGAATGAGTTTAAGAGGTAGGTGTTGTACAAATATATTGAGATCATGGTAAGATCATCCGTAGCATCTGAACAGTTGCAACTGGCCAATATGTTTGGGCATTAATTTGAAAAATCCATGTAGGAGAACTTTTTAATAAACTTCACTATTGTTCTTTCTTTCGTAGCATGCTTCAATAAAAGTTAAAATGAAATTGTTTTTTTTTGCCTTTTAGACTTGTTGAAGACTTTTGGGGACGTAACAGTTATTTTTATCTTTCATGTCATGTCATGTGATTTATATTTGATCTAATTGTAATGTTATTATGTTTGTTGTATCGGATACATTCCATATGTCTTTAGATTATAAAATATTTTGAAAAGGAGTTACATAACCGTAGTATTATAATACTTTTAGGTTATTTTGTTCCTTATCTACTGCTCTTCTGATTGATAGAAAATATTTTAATTCTAGACTTGTTTAATTTCACATAACTATATGTATATCCTTAAGGGCATACGATACAGTTACAGGGGAGGTAATGACGTTGTTAACGTAAAATATTATTTCCCCTGACGTCAAAATATGACATATCGGGAAAAGATGCATTTTTCGACTGATTTTTATCATTCAAATTGATTTAACTTGAAATCGAGTTCATGGACCACCTGTTTTTAAAATGACATTTGGTTTAACTATGTATGAGGATTATTCGTACCAATTTTCATAAAAAAGTCAATAATGCAATTTTTCCAAATTTGATAAATATACAGCAAAAAAATTACTTTTTTTTTTCTTATTTCATGAACATTTGATAAAAATGAGTAATTTCTATGAACAAAATGCACAAATTTATAGGATACTTATAAATAGCTTGTGTTTATCTTTGAAAAAACAAAAAAAAGGTATGTAAATCTTTCGAATGGAAAAATACGTCAACAAATCCGAATTTTGAACAAATATCTGAAATTTCGACCTCATTTTACACAAAAAGTAGCACAGGAAGGTATATTTTTTATTACAGCTATTTATTTATCGGGTAAAAAATAGCCTTTATGCAAATTTTCATCCAAATTTCAATATGGGATCAAAACTGTATCGTATGCCCTTAAACAACAATGTATAGACTACTTACTTGATGCCTTTGAATCTTTACTTCTAGAAGTTTGGTCCTCCCTATCAGCACCATCAATATCAACAATGGTCTTTACTGCTTCACTAGTTTCCTTGAACTCAATGTTCTTGTCTTCATCTGACGAAGATGGGTAATCCCTATCCATATGACCCATATCAAGAATCTTCTTACCTGCCTGACAGGTTTCCATCGGCTCCCCAGTCTGATCAATATCAGTAATGGCATCGACTGCTTCATGCGTTTCCATTGACTCCATAACCTCATCTTCGTCTGAAAATTCAACTTCAGCAATATTTTCAACTAGCATAATTGACTTTTCTTTTTTTGAAGCTGAAGTTGAGGCATCATTAGGAGTAAAGCCATCATTGTTAATACCGTCTGTAGCTGGAATAGAGCTTTTTACACCTGATTGACCTGACCTTGTTGACATGGCGGTTTGAGCGTTATTATGAGTATAACCATCCTTGATGATATTGTTGGTAGCTGGAATAGAGTTTGTCATACCTGATGAACTTGATGTGGTTGCCTTAATAGTTGGAACGCTTTTATGAGTATAACCATCCTTGATGATATTGTCGGTAGCTGGAATAGAGTTTGTCATACCTGATGAACTTGATGTGGTTGCCTTAATAGTTGGAGCGCTTTTATGAGTATAACCATCCTTGATGATATTGTCGGTAGCTGGAATAGAGTTTGTCATACCTGATGAACTTGATCTGGTTGACTTAATAGTTGGAGCGTTATTATGAGTATAACCATCCTTGATGATATTGTCGGTAGCTGGAATAGAGTTTGTCATACCTGATGAACTTGATCTGGTTGCAATAGCAGTTGAAGTGTTATTCTGAGTAAACCCTTCCATATTAATGCTGTCTGTAGCTGGAATGACAGTATTTTTGAAGCCTAATTGACTTGACTGGGTGACTGTGACAATTGGGGCGTTATAATGAGTATACCCCTCCATAAAGCCGTTGTCCGCTTGGACTACAGAGGTATTTGTTTCAGATCGTCTTGACCTGGTTGCCATGACAGTTGGGACTTTATTATGAGTATACTCCTTCATAATGCTGTTGTTGGTAACTGGAAGGACAGAGTTTTTCACTCCAGAGCATCCTGATCGTGTCACCATGCCAGTTGGTCCTTTTTTGTGAATATATTTCTCCTTCACTTCATTTCCAGTATTTACACTAAATGGAGTAGATGTGGTTGTTGAATTTACAGTTTGTTTATATTTCTCCTTGACGCCACTCCTAGTCTCCACGGTAAACTCATTTGCTTTCAACTGTGTAGGTATGGTCGTTGAATTTATATTTGGGTTATAAATGTAATCATCATCAGTCATGTCAGTGTCTTCAGCCTGTATGGCAGACATATTTTCTCTCAATGAGTTTGATGTTTCCTCGTTTTCTGGGAGATTATCTATTTTCTTCATTTCACAGCCTGTAGTTTGCATAGCTAAATTGTTGACATCTAACAAACTTGAAGAAGTAGATGCAACAGAAGTTTTGCATGGTTGAATATCACAGTATTTTCTTTTGACTTTATATATATGATTACTACCTGTAGTTTGAATAGTCCAAATATTTTTATTTAACATGATTTGTGCAGTAGTAATGTTGTTAGTTTGATTATTTATTGCTTTGTCTTTTTTGCTAATGATTTTTTTGTCTGTCATATTCCCATCCAAGGTTGTTGATGCGGCCGTATCATTTTTAGGTGGATTATTTTTTGCTTTGTCTTTATTGCCTATGAGTTGTATGTCTGACATATTCCCTTTGAAAGGTGTAAATGTGCCAGTTGACTTGACACTTTTTTTCGGCGTCTTCTTGGTATCACTGTCTGTAATTTTTGTAGTTGGATTATTTACAACTGGCATGACTGGTATTAATACAAACTTCATAATGTTGGTAGATTGGATATTTTCTGATGTTGCACACTTTTCTAACACTACAGTTTCACCATGTGTTGTTTTACCATTCTGTTCACCTTCTAATACCACAGTTTTACTGTGTGTAGTCTGAGCAATCTGTTCACCTTCTAATACCACAGTTTCACTATGTGTAGTTTCCAAATTCTGTTCATTTTTTAACACCACAGCTTCACAGTTTGTAGTGTCTACATTATGTTTGAGAATTTCTAAGTCCTTAGTCTTTGGTGTTGGTTCGGTATTGTCTATTTTAGTCATTTCTTCTTCATTTAATGCAGGCAAAGCATTTCTAGACTTATCCTGATTTGGCTTGATCAAATTTGCAGGATAATCTGTAATGGCCATTTGAATAGTATCTGACAGATTTGTGTTGTTCTGAAGTGCATCGTCATGACCGTGTTGGCTACTTTGATTTGATCTAGAAACATTTCCACTGCTGATATCTGAATTAAAAAAATATGATATTGTACATCTTTAACCAAATATTAAGACAAATAATTTATAATTCAATTGATCTCATGTATAAATTGAATTGTGAGCTCAATTACGAATTTGGAAAATTGAAATCGGATAAAAACTGGGTTTTCTGGAGAGGTTGGCTTCCCTCCGGTGCCTTACACAGGAAGGTCAGAGGCCTAAAACTTGCAAAAATAGTGCAAACCCGCAGGCATATAACTACTGATCCTAATTATTATTGAAATATGTATAGGAAACGACTACTTCCGGTTTCAGCTTCAGTTGAAGTCAAAAATCGAAAAAAAAATTGTGAAATTCCGTATTTTGGATCCAAATGACCTTCTTTAGACTGCTGAACTAAGTTCAGATTCACTCCCACCTAACAAATGTTGAGGTCAATTTGTTAACTGGTGCCCACTCCAAACTTGGGGTCAATTACATTGGAATGTAATTAATTGAATTACACATTACATTGCAAAAATGATCAATTACACTAATTACCATTACACAGTTTTGGCAATGTAATTCATTAAATTACAATTAGTTTACCAAAGCAATTAATTAAATTACACACTACATTTTATCAGAATTGTATAAACCAATATGTTATGTACAATGTAAATATATATAACTTGTCTCAAATTTAGCCCAACAATGTTAAATCTTCTTCCCTCAGCTGAATTTGACCTCTTGATTCTTTATATATATATCGCATGAGCCAAGGCACAGTGTTGAAGACCGTACTTTGACCTATAATGGTTTACTTTTATAAATTGTGACTTGGATGGAGAGTTGTCTCATTGGCACTCATACCACATTTTCTTATATCTATTGTAAGCTTATGTGACAATTTGGATGTAAAGTGTTTTCATTTACTTGATAACTGGTATTTTTTGTCAGCTTTTGTCTTTTGTCATTAAATTTCTAAACTTTTCAATTTTAACTATTGCCAAGCTATATATATGTCAAAGGCAACAAACATCACTATGGCATCCGTTTTTGTTTTTTTTTTTGCATTTGGTCAAATACCATTGAATTTCCTTTCATTAAGGTAGCCATTTTTTTGTTATTTAATTAAAAGTTTTATATAAATTACAAATTTATTTTGTTCTTTAAAAATTTCAAAAGAAATATAGTTGTAATAACATTGAAAATAATTGCAGTATAATGCTTCATACATTTGTATACATTTGCTAATTAGATAAAATACATGTAATAGTTTACATTGTCCCTAGGCTGTTTTACACACATATTAATCAGACTAATTGCCATTTGTTTTTACAGCTGATAATTTTATTTCTATAAACTTATTGTGTATACTAATTTGACAAAATTAGTGTGTGCAAGGATTTAAAACATGTTTACCTTCATGTAAGTCACAAAGTCAAACTTCCAGATATTTTAGAAGTACATTGATGGCAATTTGCTCTAAAAGTTTCATTAGGATTTGTTGGTTTCTCATTAATATATGTGAACTAAATATTATTTTACAATTAATATTAACATAATTTCTTATGATTAACATCAAAAATTACATGCACATGTAATTGAAATGTAATTGAAAAGTAATTTAGCATTACATGCTTTTTTCAATGTAATTAATTAAATTACCATTACATGTGATTTTAAACATGCTCAATTACACATTACATTCAATTACATGGAAAATTGTAATGCATTATACTTAATTACAATTACATTTTCAATTACCCCATCCCTGGTCCACTCGACATGCAAACTACAGCTGGATACCTATACCAGCATCCCTGGGTCTTAGGGGTCAAGAATAAGGATGAAAAATCGTCAAAATTGACGCTTTTGGCACCTGATGACCAACTTTTTGGCAAATTCCCGCCCACCCTTCCCCGCATCCTCACAATTTTCTAAAACCTCCAGGACTAGCAACGGCCATTCACCAACTGAGTTCCCGACGCCATTGGGAGTAGTAAACCTTCGTCACCTAGCTCTGACAGGTAGGAAGCCAATGGAAATGGTACAGAATCTAGTGTGGTTTCGTCCATTTGGGAGAACAATTACTGACTTGTAAATAATAAACACAAAAACCTTCTTATATTTCTATAAATAACTTTAATAAATTGTACTTTCATTTTCCATATATATATACTGTAACTATCCAGCTACATTCAAATTTTTTTCTGAATGAACTTCTCACTCATTATGACGTCAATGTTCTGTACCTTCACCCTGTACTTCAGGGGTTCTCATTTCTATGTACCTTGTCCTGATGACGTCAATGTTCTGTACCTTCACCCTGTACTTCAGGGGCTCTCATTTCTATGTACCTTGTCCTGATGACGTCAATGTTCTCTACCTTCACCCTGTACTTCAGGGGCTCTCATTTCTATGTACCTTGTCCTGATGACGTCAATGTTCTCTACCTTCACCCTGTACTTCAGGGGCTCTCATTTCTATGTACCTTGCCCTGATGACGTCAATGTTCTGTACCTTCACCCTGTACTTCAGGGGCTCTCATTTCTATGTACCTTGTCCTGATGACGTCAATGTTCTGTACCTTCACCCTGTACTTCAGGGGCTCTCATTTCTATGTACCTTGTCCTGATGACGTCAATGTTCTGTACCTTTACCCTGTACTTCAGGGGCTCTCATTTCTATGTACCTTGTCCTGATGACGTCAATGTTCTGTACCTTTACCCTGTACTTCAGGGCTCTCATTTCTATGTACCTTGTCCTGATGACGTCAATGTTCTGTACCTTTACCCTGTACTTCAGGGGCTCTCATTTCTATGTACCTTGTCCTGATGACGTCAATGTTCTGTACCTTTACCCTGTACTTCAGGGGCTCTCATTTCTATGTACCTTGTCCTGATGACGTCAATGTTCTGTACCTTTAACCTGTACTTCAGGGGCTCTCATTTCTATGTACCTTGTCCTGATGACGTCAATGTTCTCTACCTTCACCCTGTACTTCAGGGGCTCTCATTTCTATGTACCTTGTCCTGATGACGTCAATGCTCTGTACCTTCACCCTGTATTTCAGGGGCTCTCATTTCTATGTACCTTGTCCTGATGACGTCAATGTTCTGTACCTTCACCCTGTACTTCAGGGGCTCTCATTTCTATGTACCTTGTCCTGGTGACGTCAATGTTCTGTACCTTCACCCTGTACTATAGGGGCTCTCATTTCTATGTACCTTGTCCTGATGATGTCAATGTTCTCGACCTTCACCCTGTACTTCAGGGGTTCTCATTTCTATGTACCTTGTCCTGATAACGTTGATCTTATCGGCGAAACATGTTGACCCAACAAATTATAGCAGTTTCTTTTAAGTGTTGTTGTCAATCCAGTACCTTCATCATGTTCATGATTATTTTAATTTGACGACCCTGCATACCTTTGGTATCCACTTAAGGAGACGTTACCCAATCTAGAAACATGTCGATACAACAAATAATAGCAGTGTCTTTAAGTGTTGATGTCAATCCAGTACCTTCATGATTATTTTAGTGTATTTTAATGATTTAATTGTTTATCTTTATCAAACTTTTAAATAATCAGTTTCAAATAGCATTCATTCCATTTTGGCCATTCAAGCTTCATTAATTTTTAGCTTACTATTGTAAGTGTTAGTTTATGTATTAATTGTGTTTCATGCACTCAAATAAAGTTTGACTCCAAATGTTTTATACATGTGAAAGTTATCAAAGGTACCAGGTTTATAATTTAATACTCCAGACGCGCGTTTCGTCTGAGAGGTCGTCAAATTCTCTTGTTTCAGGTTTGATGAAATTGATATTTAAGGTAAATCGAGCATATACCACTGAGGTTCTTTTACAAATCTTTATTTTTTTTAGGTAAAAATGTATAACTTGTATGATATCATTACAGTTTTTTTTTTTCAAAATAATATAATGTATAAAATTGAAAAGATTTGCATTGATAGAAAAATGACAGCAAATGGACCATTTTGGCGGGAAATAAATCTTCAGAGAATTTCAATAGAAAACAATAGGAAATTTTAGTTTATTCAAAATAGCAGGAAAACAAGAATGGTTACCTCAAGTTTTCTTTTAAGAATATCGAAGTGTATCAAATTAGCAATCTTTTCACCATTTTATATGAAATTGTATCTGCTATTTTTACAACACTTGCATCGTTTAATAATAATTAGGTGTAAAATCTCTATGTAACCAGTTAAAAATTCAGTGCAAAGGCCTTTTTTTCAAAGATGTATAACAAAACTAGATGCTTCCAGGAGCCTGAATCACTCACTTGGACACCTGAGCCTACACGACTAACAATCAGATCTATTAGTAATTAACCAAAATAGACAAAACTAGACCTCAAAGGGGCCACACAAAATTGACATTAAAAATCTGGAAAAAGCTAATTATAACTATAAAATGTGTCAGTAAGACCACAGATATCCCTACTGTAGATTGCACTTTCCACAAGAACTTAACCAAAGCGTGAGAACGGACGAACAAGGGTAACTTTCCACAAGAACTTAAACAAAGCGTGAGTAGGGACAAACAAGGGTAACTTTCCACAAGAACTTAAACAAAGCGTGAGTACGGACGGACAAGGGTAACTTTCCACAAGAACTTAACCAAAGCGTGAGTACAGACAAGGGTAACACTATATGTCACGTCTACATTCATGGTCGGGATATTAAATAAAGGCATTTCGCTGTTCGAAAGTCATAAATTGATACTGAGAAAACAAATCGGGGTTACAAACTAAAACTGAGGGAAACACATCAAATATAAGAGGAAAACAACGAAACAACAGAAACACTAAAGTGCAACCAAAAACCAAACGACAATGCAACACACACAGAAACGAACTGTAGGATAACAATTGCCATTTTCCTGACTTGGTACAGGACATTTTAAAACTAGAGGCTCTCAAGAGCCTGTGTCGCTCACCTGTATTTACTGATGCTTTGGAAATCATGTAAAATAAGGTTAAAATCACAATTAATAGTATTATATATTAGATATTATA